GAGCGCCAGTGTGGTGTATCTCAAGCCCGCGCATTACATCCTTGACCCCACGTTCGAAAGTCTTCAACCGCAAGCCGTGCGAGCGCGGCAAGCCAGCCTGAACACCTACACCTACCTCTCCAATAGTCTTCGTTCGACCTCGTTGGCGATTGGTCCTCTGCCATAGCTAGCTAGCTAGTCACTTACTTTGCAAACCACCCAGTATCACATACCGACGACCAATTACCTCGATTCGGTAGTCCTGTGAGACTGTGACATCACAACACGCCTCTCGACTATGGCACCTGGTGTACTTAACTCGGACGGCTCAATGGAGGACCAAAACGGACAGACTGCCCCGACGAACGGGCTGGCCGGCACCGCCGCTGGCCGTCTCCATGCTATCGATCCCACTGTAGACACACTCACCCTCCTGCGCAGCTTGCCTGAGCCTCCTATAGAGGCCCAGGTGTGCGTGGTTGGTGCTGGCCCCGCTGGTTTGATGCTGGCTGCCAATCTCGGGCGCTTTGGAATTAAGGTCGAGCTTATTGACGACAGAGCTGACCAGACGCCTGTTGGAAGGTAGACAATCCATACACACATACCTACCATGCCTCTGTAAGCTAATACCCGAAATAGAGCAGACGGACTGCAGCCCAAGACGATCGAGACTTTCCGTCAAATGCGCCTCGCCGACCCTCTGCTCCTCCGCGGTGTTCGTGTCTACGATATTTCCTTCTGGCGGAGCACTGCCGACGAGCCGCTGCACAGACTGGGCCGCGAGGTACACTACCCTCCCGTCATCGACGTCCTCGATCCCTACATTTTGCTCGTTCATCAGGGTATGGTTGAAGGCCTCTTCATCGACGACTTGAAGAAGCGCGGGGTCGAGGTACGGAGGAATACCGCATTCGAGTCCTACAGCGTTCCGGAAAACAAGGCAGGGCCCCTACAGGTTAACTGTCGCACAAACGTAACCCAAGACCGGCGGACAATCCTGACACAGTACTTGGTTGGATGTGAGTGAACTACTACAAAACCGCTGCGCTGGGAAAGACATATACTGACCCGAAAAAGGTGACGGTGCCCACTCCAAAGTACGAAAGAGCATTCCTGATGCACGGGCTATTGGCCTTTCGCAACCAGCAATCTGGGGTGTTCTCGATGGCGAACTTATCACCGATTTCCCAGACATTTGGTCCAAGACGCTAGTATACTCTCAGGAATACGGCTCTATTCTAATTATCCCGAGAGAGAGGAATATGACCCGTTTCTACATTGAGCTGAAGGCGAACCCCAAGGCCGACAAGCGAGAGCTTGGCCAGGAATTCGTCATGGCTCGAGCGAAGAAGATCATGGCGCCTTTCGAGGTCGACTGGAAGTATATTGAGTGGTTCGGACGTTACCAGATTGGTCAGAGAGTGGCCAGTCGGTTCACCGACCCCCATCTGAGGGCGTTCCTCGCTGGTGATGCCAGTCACACGCACTCCCCTAAGTCTGCTCAGGGCATGAACACCTCTATGCATGACTCGTGGAACATTGCGTGGAAGCTCAACCTGAGCATTCGAGGACTCGCGAAGCAATGCCTGCTCGAGAGTTACGAAGAAGAGCGGAGAAAGATCGCTGTTGACCTGGTCAACTTCGACTACGAGCACGCCAATCAGATTGCGGGAGGTGACGCGGTAGCACTGTCAGAAAACTTCAAGACGAATGTCCGTTTCATTTCTGGCATCGGCGCTGAGTACTCTGAGAGCCCCCTGAACAGGCCCGACTCTCAAGGCCTCATTATGGGAGATGCCAGACCTGGCTGCTTGCTTCCCCCGGCCAAGGTCACTAGATACATCGACTCAAATCCTGTGGATATTCAGCTCGACATCCCGATGCTCGGACAGTTCCGCATTTACCTTTTGATGTGGGATATCCAGGCGTCGAGCCCTTTCCTGGAGACTTTCTGCCAATCCATCGCCTCGGCCAACTCTTTCATCAGCAAGCTCTCAGCCTCGGCTAGTGCTTCTTACGCTGCGCAGCCCAGACTGCCATCGTCTGAAGACATCTACTACCGGCCCGAAAGATACACGGCCGTCAGCCATCTCTTCACATTTGCCTTGATTAGTGAGTCTTGTTCACCAGAATTTCAGTTTAATTACTAACACTAGCCACAGCTACAATGCCCAAAGATGATGTGGAGATCTCGGACCTGCCTGCCCTGCTGCAGGACAGCCGCTGGACCTTCTACCTGGACGACATTCCAGAACAGGACACGCGTGGCCAGCTTTGCACAAACAAGTGGCTTGGTAGCCTCGGTCCCGGTGAGGTTTCCATTGTCAACGTACGACCTGACGGCTATGTGGGTTCCGTTGGCCGATGGGATTCCAGCATGGACGACGCCGGCGAGGAGGCTGCCCGCTGGCTAGACGAATACTACGGCGGCTTCCTCCAATTGCCTGGCGGCGCATCGCCTACCCCTACCGCAACCCCCATGGCAGTTTAGACAGATTCCCTTAATTTTGAGTCCGATTCAGGGACATTTTTACTCGGGCATATTTGTATCATACAAATCCCACTTCACACGACAAACGCGAACACATAATCCACAGCCTGAGAGACACCAGGCATGCAAGGAAAGACGCAGACACGAAATCATCACTTTCTCTCTTCCAACTTATCCGGCAGGTGTTGGGGAGTGTGGCGGCGCGGTACGGTTGTTATCACGGCATTTTCAGGAGCTAAAGGGGATAGTGGCTAAGTACGCTCTGTTGCAAAGCAGGGGTACTTGGATCTCAATTTTGTTTTTTTCCACCATAGCTGAGCTTTTCAGGGATGAGATTTACCACATGAGGCAGACACATGTCAATAGATGGAATATTTCATTGCAGATCCCCTGCTTTGGGTCAACTCCCCCGGTTAAATTAAGCTCCACGAGCCCACGTATGCAGTGAGCTAGGGCAATGATCGCGAGAACATGACACCACGTTTGGGAGGGTTCATGCGAGCTGTCATCTTCTATTTCCCCATGTACCCACCCTGGCAGCTCTCTCTCGTCCCTTACCAAGTCCCAAACCTAAGCAGTAAGCATCCGGGATCTTGTTCCCTCCGAAGGAACCGGTCGGTCTGCCGCTGCCCTGCTCGGAGCCTGCATGTGCTAGAAGGGAGGAGTGAGTAGCTTGTACGGCACAGGTCTAGGGAGGGATGGGGACCGTCACCGCCCAGCGGCATGCCGTTGGTCATCAATGAGGGTGCTGCGAAGTTCCGGGGCGTGAGCATGATTCGATTCCGATAGGGCTGGCGTAAGGTTATTGTCTGATGTGATGGGGATCTAGGCCTCACACGCCATGCCATACGCCCAAGCTGTAATGTACCTGGATATTGTGCGCTAGAGGGAGTTCGCTTCATGAACGTCTTCCTACCTTGTTCCGCATGTCGTCTGCTGGCTGATAGGCATCGGCTCGGGGTGTCCCCCGCTGCTTAGATGCCTGCTTGTACAACCTCGTTTTCCGTTGGTGTCTTGAGGTTTTGCCCTATCTGGTTTGTTTCGTTTCTTTGTGGTCGTGGAGGTAGACGTTTGTTGTGGAGGACTTTTGAGGTGATATGCTGGGGATGGACTGACAGGTGTCAGCGCAGCTGTCCGGCTGGGTAAGTTTGCTATGCCGACGACGTCCGTGGTCCGGGTGACTCCACTGTGGTGAGTCGGCTCCGGTGGGATGATGACCGGAGCCCTCGTCACGACCGGCTTTTCGGAGGGCTGTTGGCCGCTGGCCTTCGGAGGAGGCCCCGGAGTTTAAGGACCTGCGGGGTCTGGGGTTTCCGACGTCACCTTGTTGAGTGAGGTGCGCAACATGTGCTTCTGCTCTTTGACTTGGAGGTATTAGGTAGCTTGTAGGTCACCTCATTGGCCTGCGGAAAAATCCAGGATTCCTTTCTCAGGCCTCGCTGGAGGTTTAGTGGCGGAGCAGTGGGAGAGTCAGTCCTCTGTTTATTTTCTCTGCTACGCCTGGGCACAGAGATGATTTCCCTGAATACAACGATGATAAAGATTTTGAAGTTGACCATTTACTTGCCAATTGCTAGGATGCGATTGTATGTTGGTTCTCCAGTAGATATGACGTAACACCTCTACTCTGACACATGGGCTCTAGTTTATGAGTAGCCCTCAGCAGGACCAACTACTAAGCTAAGCCAGGAGTGGACGTTGAGGTACACATTGGCATTAAAGAATAGCTGATGTACAGGGGAAATGGGCCGGAAGGTTTCGACGCTTTTTCTGAAGATTGCCCAATGGCCCGTGTTAGATGAGCAGCAGCCCCTCGGTGACGCCGTCCACAGTGAAATGTGCGACCTATTTATAAATCACTGCTGGAGCTCTTGAGACTCTACAACGATCCAATATCATCATATGAAAAGGTACGAAAGGGGGAAAATCAAATGAGGATGATGGTAAAGGGGTCTGTCTATTGTTGGCGTATGGCGGTTGAGTCTCAAAGTTGTCTCTAGCTTTGACTAAACTATATTTGACTTTTTGGGGGTACTAAAGAAATAACCCAATACCCAGAATAACGAGACGATTCACAGTCTTGAAAGATCGACTGGTGCCCCAAGCTCTCACCACGGCCAATTGGCCGTTTAGCTGTACAGGGGTTTTTACGAGAACCATAAAGTAGAAGAACTCTTGGCGAGGACACAGAGAAATGAGATTGTAGACATTGCAATGATTTGTAGAGTCAGAAGGTTACGGCGTGTAATATGACTAGGCTCAACTCAAAAGCCAACTCAAAGGCTAGAGCATCGTTTACGGGAATTTGCTCCTTTTTACGCACCTACCGTATCTACTTGTGCCAACCACGTAACGGTCGAGGTTATTATGTATAAATTGGATCACGATCGCAGCAAATCGAACTCCTTTACTCCAGCTCCATACACCAACTCATTCAAAGAATCACCCACTTCTCTCATTGCCTCTACCCGTGTAACTACACACGGCAGACTCACTTACAACTTCACCAGACGGCACCACATCGCCCACCATGCAATTCTCCGTCTTCACCATCCTCCCCCTCCTCCTCTCCTCCGCCGCCGCGGCAGCCCTAGACACCGCAGAAGTCCGAGAAGCCCGCTCTCTCGACCAATCCTCCTCGCCTAACAATGTCGGCGGTGGTTTGCTGCCCAGGAGAGTCGAGTGCGACTGCTGCAGAGCGATGGGGTCCGGATATTGTTGGTACAAGGAAGCGAATGGTGATAAATACGTGAGTTACTCTCGTTGTTATTGACTTTTGTTTTAGTTCATTTGCTGGGAAGTCATGTGTCGCTAATCGATGGGTGTTGTAGTGTTCTGCTTGTATTGTTGATGTTTGCCAGAAGAGGTGTTTGTGATAGGTTCTGTTCGGGATGCGGGTTCATGAAGGGGGTGGGGGCGGGCGTCGTGAGAATGGTATTGGAGACATGGGAATCTTAGACGAATAGCCATGCCGATATCTACTAGATATAACAACAGTCAAAAAGAGTTCACCCCCCGGTGCTGAATTGGGGGCTACATCTCTTGGTGCTCATACTGGGATTCGAACTCGGGAACTCGTGAGCCTATCGTTGAGTAGGCTGTGGGCGTAATTTGATTGTTGACCTTGGACCACTCCACCACCCAGCCAGTTTATCCTGACCCCCCGACCTAGAGGGGCGCCTGCTGTTGCTGGTCGCGAGTGGACTTGAGGGGGGGTATATAGGCTTCTTCCTGTGTGAATTCTCTGTGTATTCGGGGGTGGGAAAATTCATCGGATGAAGGCTTGGTAAGGCAGGGACGGTCGGCGCGGTTTATATCTTTCCACGTAAGCAGAGCTGGCTGTCAGGTACGAGCCTCTAGGAACAGAATGAGTGTTATCACGGCATTGATACAAGATGAGCGTATCAGTGCGATCTAGTCATTGATACATGTCTACTCTTATACAACTCTAGTCTCGTACGATGCGGACCTTCTTACATATATAATACACTGGCTGATATACGTCCCTCACGCATGGTCATCCTTGATGCCCCAGCTACCCACCAAAGCCATGGCCTTGTCATCGCCCTTGGCAAGACGGTCGTCCTGCAAGGTATCCGCCAGACACTGCCACGGGTCCCGGCTGCCTCCCCACTTTAAGAGGTTCTCCTTGAGCCGCTCGCCGTTCTCCCGGCTGAGCGCCTTGCCGTCGGCGCCGGCGGAGAAGACGACGCGCCAGACCCGCTCGGCGAGGACGCGGTCAAAGACGTAGCTGTAGTAGGTGCTGCCGTACCCGTGCAGGTGGCCGAAGAAGCCCTGCCAACACGTGCCGGCGGGGTCGGCGCCGCCCTGGGAGAACTGCTTCTGGAGGCCGTGGTAGACGCGCGTGGAGTTAAAGGACGGACCGGCGACCTCGGGGCTGTGGTACGACTGATCGAGCAGGGAGAGGAGGATCTGATTCTCCGTGTCGATGCCCTCGAAGCGCTTCGCCAGGCGGATCCGCTCGGCGACCATCTGGTACGGCAGGGGCTCGTCCGTCTTCCAGTGACGGGCGAAGAGTCCTAGCACGGATGGGTCTGCCGCGAAGTGCTCCATCAGCGTGGATGGGAGCTCGGCAAAGTCGGTGGCACATCTCGTGCCGGACACGTTCTGAAGCTTGGTGCGAGCGAGGATGGAGTGGATGGCGTGGCCCATTTCGTGGAACAAGGTCTCGACCTGGTAGTACGACAGGAGCGCCGGGGCGGAGCTCTTCGCATCGTGCTTGGGGAAATCGCAGACCAAGGCAATGGTGGGCAGCTGCATCAGGACGCCATCCTGCTGCAAGCTCTCCATACCGTCGTTTGCGGCTTGCTCAGGTCTCTCAAACTTGGGCATATCGGAGGTGGCGTTGTGGATGTCTTCCGCAGCCTCTTCGACTTCGTACGGGGCGATGGCTCGGGAACAGCGCACTGTGAAATGAGCAGGGTTGGGCGACTTGTCCTCTCTGTAGAACAGGTCGCAGTACAGGACAGCAATGAGATCGCCCGTATCCGTCACAACATCCAGGCGTCGCACATCCTCGTGCCAAGTCTCGCCGGGCTGCGACTCCTTTGGTCTGAACTGAATACCGTAGAGACGAGTGAACAGTCTCGACATGCCCTGCATGACGGTGCCGATGGAGAAAAAGGACGGGAGGTGATCGGGATGACGGACTGGCAGACTCATCTCGGACCGCACGCCGTCCATTAGGAAATCCTTGTCCCACGGATGGACTTGAGTAGCAGTGCTGTCTAGTCGGGTCTGCTTCAACTTCAGGAGGTCCGACATTTCCTCGCGAACAATAGGGGTATTGTACTTTTGCAGCGCGTGAAGAAACTGCATCACAGCGCCGGGAGACTTTGCCATCATTCTGTCTTTCAGGGAAAGGTGGGCGTAGCTCGAGAACCCCGCCAGGTCCGCCAGCTCAGAACGAAGCTTGAGCATCGTCTCGAGCAGACCGACTGTCTGCTTCGAAGCGGTACGCATGGCGGTGTACACCTCCTTCCGCGTCCCCTCGTCCTTGACGCTCCGGAGCGCGGCCTGAGCTTCAGGGCCGGTGGTGGGGAGGCGCAACTTGCCCCTCATTGTGAGCGCTCGAGCGATCCCGGGGTATAAGCCGTAGAAGCTCGATGAGGGAAGCACAACTTCCCGCTTCGCAGGCTGCATGTCTGAGACGAACATGGATCCGACCTCACTTATCTGCTGCGAGAGGTCCACGAAGCGGTCCCGCTCCTGCTGCGGCAAGTCGACAGCCGACTTGGTGAAATCCAGCTTGAGAATCTCTGCGACCGTCCTCTCCTCCTCTGACCATGCCGCGACCACTTCGGGCTGCTCCATAGCCTTGACCAATTGGTCACTCAGTCCGGTCATGGTGTTCAGCTGGTTCATATACTGATAGACCAGCGACCAGGCTCCGGCTGCTGCTTGCTGGAATCTGGGGTCTGGGTGTGTCATTCTGACAAAGTCGGATAGATCGAGTACTCGGCAGAGAAGGTCGCTAAGACGGTCAAGGTCCTTGACGACGGCCTGGTATTCGGACACACTCGACGCATGGAGGACTCGGTGGACAATCTTCTGCGCCTTGTCCAAGCTCTTGCGGGCAAATACGTAGAAGCCATTCGGGCTAGTGAGATATCGATTCTTGAAGAGACCAACACTGGGGCCGGCCGCCTTAAAGGCCTTGGACACTCGGTCGGGGGAGTCGAAGAGTTCGCGCAGGATCGCATCGTCGGTATTCCTTCCCGGAAGTGAGTGGTCGGCCGTGATGCTCGAGTGAGCGGCGCCGGACACTGCGGCTATCCACCGGCGCTGCTGGCCTCGGGAAGCTTGCCGAACGCATTGGGTGCAGACCCAGAGGCCGCGGGTTGAAGATTTGATCATTATGAAGAATCCGTCGATGGCGCGACCATAACTACGAATCGAGACGAAAATTCTAGTAAAACATGTAGCAAGAAAAAAGGAGGGTGGTCGTAAATGCGACGAAGGGCCGTGACCATGGGAATGCTTCTGGATAGGGAGAATTAATGGGAATGAGATAAACCAATCGATAGGCCATAGCCGGGATGGTATCCGGACTGACGGCGGGAGTAATTTTTTGTGCAAGGGTGTGCAGTGCTGCCAGTCATCTCAGGCCAGTGCATAATCGAATTCCCGAGCTCCGGAAATAGCCGCACCAGCGTCCAGTGGGCCTGGCGTTAGGTGCTTGCAAGCACAAGCATCATTCCGTGACATCCAAATAATTCTCGCGAGACCAAGACCCAATTCCCTCAATCGACCAATTGAGCGGACCATGGCTGCTAGAGTGTTGCTACAACGGGTAATTTTCTCTTGCCAATCAACTAGTAATCGAAGTAACGACTAATATGAGATCCATAGCGCGCCGCGCCGTTAGCAGCGACGGTTATGCTGGGAGGATTCGCCCTGGCACCCCGAACTGCCTACGCTGAAGCTCCCGAGAGCAGCCACGTACGTCCGCATTCGACTCGCAGCACCTAGATAGTAGCATAGCTGACAATTATGCAGTCCAAGAAGCCCATCTACGACGACCTGGAGCTCCCCGCGACGAGTGGCACTCTCCCTCCTCCGATCCCCAAGGCCGAGCAGCCTCCCCAGGCCGAAGAACCCAAGTCGCGAGGACCTACCCCTACCGACCGTCTCGCCGTCCAGATCGGCAAGGCGCGCCTCGCCCTGTACCAGTACGCCGTAGGTGCCGAGGATGCCGTCAACCGGACGATGGACAAGGCCTTCAACCTCGAGCAGTCCTTCACGGGCACAATCGCATCCCTCGCCCCGCCCCGCGAGAGCGGCGAGAAGCTGATGCCCGGCGCCATTTACGTCCTAGTCGCCGCCATGGCCGGCAGCATCGTCACCCGCAACCGCAGCATCATCCTGCGCGCCACGGCGCCCCTGGCCTTTGGTATCACTGCCGGCTGGACCGTCCTGCCCATCACCATGGGCAACGTCTCCAACCTCACCTGGAAGTACGAGCAGCGTTTCCCCGTTATTGCGCAGGGTCACCTCAAGCTTCGCGAGAGCATCGAGAACAGCTGGAGGATGGCGAGGCTCCACAGTGAGATTGGTGTACGATATGTTGATGAGAAGGTCACGGATGCCCGGGAAACCGTCGAGGACTGGGTGAAGAAGGGCAAATAAAGGAAGCGTGGAACTGTACCATAGAAGCGAAAAGAGTCGCTACCATCGGTTCCTTTTGTAATTGACATATTTCATCAGCTCGATGCTTGTCTTCAGAGCGAAGCAAATCATGGTGAGTGGGCATTATCCAATATTATGTGTATAAAAGTCGTATTTGGGTTCTATATCCCTCATTCCATCAACCTGGCCTGTCAATGAAGGACCCAGGATGCCGCTATGCTTTTTTTACCGATGGCCCCAAACTCCTATCTATGTAAATGAACCCGGTTGAGAAGTGCTATGTGATGTATCTCAAGTTTGTAAGGTAGCAGGAGCCGGCTGCGTTGGCTGTGTTTCCTTGGGCGCGCCGACACCCCTTTGAGACTTGTTTCGAGGAGCCTGCGCAGCCCGGCTCTCGACCATCTTGCCGCCGGCCGCCATGGCGGTTGAATTGGGCTTCTTTCCACCCTTGCCAGGCCCCTTTTCCGGGTCGACGCCTTTGTTCAGATCAGTCTGCTGAGCAAGCTCGATGAGATCCTCGAGCCCGAGTGCGCGGCAGATTTGGGTATAGCTCTTGCACTGATTCATCTTTTGATATGTCGCGCTCTTGCCCGGGACAATCTGACAGAGCAGGTATTTCGTGTTGCCGTACTTGTTGTCGACCTCGAGCGCGTACTTGACGTATGTTGCCGCCACTTCCTCCCAGGACGCCAGGCCTCCGTCTAATTCCGTCCTGAAGCAGCTCGAGTTCGCCTCAGCTGCAGTAGCAATCATCGCGCCATCGACTCCAAACTCCTTGATCAGGTCGACTGCGTGGTCTCGGCTCTCGACATCGCCGTTCATGATGCAAGCAACGCCCGCCTCGTGGCATACTTCCGCGACCATACGAAGCTGCTCGCGGATGGCACGCTCTCTAGGACGCATAGGTGTCGTGCGGCAGTGGATCGTGAGGCCTGTGATGCCCGTAGCGCAAAGCTTACGCACAAGGGCTTCGGTCTGTTCGGGTGTGTCCAAGAGGCGAATCTTGACACTGATGCCAATCTCGAATTCTGGCATAATGTTCGCAACCAGAGCCTCCAAGATTGCGACAAGCTTGTCCGGAGTCTTTAGAAGAGCCGCGCCCATTCCACCGCTAATGCTGAACGGCTTCGGGCAACCTGCGTTCACGTCGATGCCGGCGACATCACCCGCCACGAGCCTAGCCGCCTGTACTGCCAAGTCTGGGTCTGCCGTCCCAATCTGGAATATGAGCTTTCCAGCCTCCTTCTCCGGGTGTGTGCTGAAGATCATCGCCTCGGGCATGTGCTTTGGAGGGTTCTTGTGGCCGAATGAGGGGATCTTGGTGAAGTCTATCGTGTTGGTAACTGGGTTCACTGTGCGCGTCGTGCCGATCATGGCTTTGTCGACTGTCTCAGGGCCTGTTGAACCTGTCAGTGCGAATCTTCAGTGTTCCCCATACTTGCGACTTACCCCAGACTAGGTCTGCGCCATAGTGTAAGGCCAGGAGGCGAGAGGGAAGTTCGCCAGAGCGGACCATGGGCGCAAGAACAAGCTTGCCTCTATAGTCCACACCCCGGCGAGGAATCGGGACTTTCTTGATTTCTGAACCCATTGTCTTGAGCAGCGTGCGAAGGGACATGGCCAGAGGGGAAAGTCAAGCTACATGGTCTTGTACAAAAGAAATGGGAATGGTCGGCGCAATCCGATGGTTGACTCCTTCGGCGATGCCCTGACGGGCTAGAGTGCATTACGGAGAAAAGTGTCACGGTATCTTATCGATAAGCAAGTATCGGGGTGTGGCGTTCGAGTGAACAAGCAATGAGGATCACCAATCGAGGAAACTACCGACCAAAAGTTTTTGAGATGCCACGAATTCCATCTTTCTACCGAAAATCTGCCATCAAATGTCCCTGATCACTATTTAATCTGATTGTAGGTCATTGGCTGTTTTATGTGCGTCTGCTTGAGTTACTTGAGAAAGGTACTTGACTGCTGGCAGTTCTCTTGACTATTCAGCTTGGCGTCGCTTAGCTGAATTGGATGCGAGTTGGGCACTGCTTTTGTATGTCAAGTGCCGCCCGCGACTTGAAATCGTTGCATCCAGTAAGTCATTTTGATAACTCGATGTTTGAATACTGGATTAGAGAAGTTTTTTTGCTTTGGGGGTTTCCCCAAATACCAGTGCAGTAGTGTTCTACCGAAGTTCTCATTATAATTTGTTGCTGGGGTTTTTGACCGTCTCACTTACAAAACCGAGGCAACAACCTTCCCACTTAATCATGAACAAATTCCCTCTTACAGCTAAGCCTTTTAAAGGTTGTGTTCTAGAAAAAAACTCAACAAATATCAGCTATATGAGCACAAGTTGGTGCACTCTGGTAGGAAGACACTCGAGCCTTTTGTATGGGTAGCGCACACATAAGACATAGGCACATTGGGAGGCTGACATCACAATTAACTCAAATAGGCACTGCTTGAGAGCCTTGACCATGTCATGTACCTGAACAATTAATGGCATCTCCTTGGGTTGAGACTTAAGAGACATCTGGTAGAGACCTCGACCCTGTGGAGGGGTAACTGAGGGGCAAAGTTGCAGGGGTACATCAGCAAGCTCCAGCCACGGTGAGGCTAGTGAAGAATTTTCTGAAGGCTGCGTTACGTTGTCGGCAGGTTGCTGTCGCGACAAAAACAGACTGAACGATTCTCCCGGTTTCTTCCTTGCCCCGTCCTGACCAGAAGCAATTGCCTTTTGCCTCTGCAGCCCCGATAGCCGCGAGTACCTCAAAGACCCATCCAGCATCCATCCTGTTCGAACGGCAACAATCCAGCCACGGCTACAACTATTAGCGTCTTGCGCAACACTCACCCTCTTTTTGCCATTGAACCTCGGATGAGACCGAAATAGTCTTACCGCAATTGCTGAAGAGTCCTCTGTTGTGTGATATAACTCTAAACGCCACACGCCGAATTCCCCTTTGATCACCCTTTCTTCTACTCTCCATTGACCGATTTCCCTCCGGCCCGGCCCCAAGGTCACTTTGTATACTACACTACCTACACATGCCGCTGCTACGAGGCATTAAGCTGCAGCTCCCGTCCCTTCGCAAGACAACTGTCAGCTCTGTCAGCTCATTCACCCCCGTATCCGCACTGCCTCTGCCTTCCACCGCCTGTACTGGTACTGGCCGCCGCGCACTCAGTTTTCGCGTGCCTTCCGCCCGACCCAGCCCCGTTTCCACACTCACTCGTCGACCCCCGATACAGGCCCCGTCCCGGGCCAATCACTCTGCAACCCTGGCGGCACACACCAAGCTAACGTCCGGGTCTCCTACCCCTCCCCCTCCATCCCTCCTTGCATCATCCGCCAACGGCACCCCTCCTCGCCCGTCACAAACTGCTGGTGCCCCCGGTATTAAATCCAAAATTCCCTCCCAACGCACCGCGCAGATTGCCCGTCACTTCTCTACCATCTCAAAGGACTCTGACCCAAGTTTCCATCACCAATCGCCCGCAATGGCTTCCCCTTACTCCCTCCGCAAGGTTGGTGCTCCCAACACCCTCGAGCACCGTGTCTACATCGAGAAGGATGGCGTCCCCGTCTCCCCCTTCCACGACATTCCTCTGTACGCCAACCAGGAGCAGACCATCCTGAACATGGTTGTTGAGATCCCCCGCTGGACCAACGCCAAGCTCGAGGTAAGCATTCGTGTCCCCTTCTCTATTGTGCCGTGATCGCTACTGTTGCTCTGCCATGAGCATTCTGACACGAACACGAACGAAAACGGGCATGTGACGCTGACCGACAATTCCACCCGCAGATCTCCAAGGAGGAGCTCCTCAACCCCATCAAGCAGGACATCAAGAAGGGCAAGCTTCGCTACGTCCGCAACTGCTTCCCCCACAAGGGCTACCTCTGGAACTACGGTGCCTTCCCCCAGGTACGAAAGAAAAAAGGCCCCTGAAAAGATAACAGCTTGTGGTCGAGAAAAACAATATCTAACGCTGTGCTCCAGACCTGGGAGGACCCCAACGCCATCCACCCCGAGACCAAGGCCAAGGGTGACAACGACCCGCTCGATGTCTGCGAGATCGGTGAGCTTGTCGGCTACACCGGCCAGGTCAAGCAGGTCAAGGTCCTCGGTGTCATGGCCCTGCTCGACGAGGAGGAGACCGACTGGAAGGTTATCGTTATCGACGTGAACGACCCGCTCGCCCCCAAGCTCAACGACGTCGAGGACGTCGAGCGCCACCTGCCCGGCCTTCTCCGTGCCACCAACGAGTGGTTCCGCATCTACAAGATCCCCGACGGAAAGCCCGAGAACCAGTTCGCCTTCACCGGCGAGTGCAAGAACAAGAGGTTCGTCTTGAACAATTGATATACTTACCTATTATCCTTAAGCTAACCAAATGCCACAGCTACGCCATGGACGTCGTCCGTGAGTGCGCCGAGGCTTGGGAGAGACTCATCACCGGCAAGACCCAGGCCGGCAGCGTCTCCACGTAAGTTTTTTATCACGCAATATCTTGGCACAGCAAGCCACGTGTTGTCTGAATACCCTTTACTGACAATCATGTCTTTAGCGGCAACACCACCGTCCAGCAGTCCCCCGCTCTCATCAGCGCCGGCCAGCTTCCCCCTCTGCCCGCTCACGAGGAGCTCCCCGCCGCCAAGATCGACGCCTCCATCGACAAGTGGTTCTTCATCAGCGGTGCCTCCGCATAAGGGATTCCTCCTCCCTCTTGTGTTTTCTTGAATTGGTAGTACCGGCGGATTGCTTTAGCCAGACGAAAGCTCAGACCATATTTTTTGCGTCACTTTGTTAGTAGATGTAGTCGAAAACGGAGTCAGAGCTCGAGGGCCCGAAAGGCGTCAACTAGAATACCAAAAAAGTTAAAGTACCGTAAAATCTGTGCCATTGGAGCTGCTGTTTATGACCCAAGTCTTGAGCTTCTTGTGATGTCCATATTTTTCTATTCGTAGGAGACGTTTTAGTCCCCTAAAGCGTTTTTGTACAACAGCATTTTGACAGCATCTGCTTCACTCGTCTAGTCTGTCTCCTACACATTGAGCTGCCTGACGTAGCCAATCGAGAGAGCCCTGAGGGATATCTATCGTTCCCAATTCCAACATAAAACGCCGGGTTATCGTTAAAAAGAACAAGATGCTATAATAGTACACGGATTCTTCCCTCTCTGGCCTTTACGTCTAGTCGGTCAAGTCGGCAGCCTTTTGCAGACCGCGAGAGTGTCTGTCCACCTCCTCAATCATGTTCTTGACGCCCATTTTTTCGCAGTCAATGGTAATCTCCTTGCCGTCCTCTATACACACGCAATTCATTAGCCAAGATCCATGCTTTCATCCTGGTGGCTTGAGATAGGAAATAGGCAGGTGCAGACGGCAAAGGGGGGACGTACTGAACTTAACATAAAGCGAAGCGGGCTCCGTCGACGTCCGGGGCAGGAGGATAGTCTTGATCGTCGTGCCCGTAGAGCGCGCCGTGGGCGGGATGTTGGACATGAAGAGGCGCGCGGACTTGGCTGCGGGCGAGAAGGGGTTGAACTTTGTCGTGATCTCGGTCATGAATTTGGTAATCATCTTGGCGGTTCAATTGTGTCTCGCAGGAGGTGTAGGTATGGCAGAATGTGAGGTGTTTGGGCGGTATCGTATCGTTCAAAGCGGACTTGAGGGCGAGGTCGGACGAGAGGGGGGATTGGTGATGGTGTAGTCAAGCGGGAGGTGGTTCAACTTTCGATTAGGTACTTCACAATGCGCTTCGAAGCTGTCGCCAAAAATTTGGGTCGCGTGGCTCGTGTCGGGACTCGGGAGGACGGGGGGAGGAGCTTGGACGCCGCCGCGTGTGGCTTGCCGCATCCCCCGGTGGCCGGAGACCATGTGGCGCAGAAAGTTGCATATTGGTATAACGGGGGGCAATATCCCTCTGTACCACACATTTCGTCACCGCGAAAGGCCAGCTTTACGCCCCTACCTTGCATCATCGCACCTTGACTTATAACACTCCCCCCGCTGCCCGAGAGCATTCCCACCCGACTTTTGCAAAAGCCGAGTAAATGCGCACGCAGCGAACCAAACGAGCCAGATCACAAAGTCGAAAAAGGGAAAAGAGGAAGTAAAAGAAGCCATGTCCTTCGAAGGTCTGCAGGAGCGCCTGACGGCCCTGCAAGAGACCACGACCCAGCTCAAAGACCTCATCGACCGGCTTCAGAACCTCAAATTCCAGCCGGGATCGGTCCCGCTCGGCAGCGGCGCAGCAGCAGACGAGGAGAACAGCGCCAGCGCGGAGCTGAGCTCGGAAATCAGCCAGATCCTCCGGGAAGAGGAGGACGAGCTGGAGCTTCTCGGGGAGGAGGTGGAAGATCTCAGGGACGGCAGGCCGGGGAGCGAGGTGGAGCACACAAAGACCCGTCTCAAGGATGGCGTGGAGAGGTTGAAGCAGGAGATCAAGAGGTGAGGATCCCCCTAGCTCTACCCTCGGTTGACAGTAATTGCAGGGGATCTCGAACGGGAGATCAAAGGTCACTAACACGCGATGCCACACATAGTTCACGAATCACTTTCCGCAAGGCACAACTCGCAGCTCGGCGCAACCTCTCCCAGGCCCAACGCCTCGAGCGCGAACTCCTCATCAAATCCTACTCGCAGCCCGTCTCCGAAGCGTCCTCGCCGTCCCTCAGCGCGCAACAGAAGCCCGACGTCGTCCGCCACCGACAGGTTCACCAAACACACAACAACACGAGCTCCCTGACAGAAGAGGACAAGCAGACCGTCGGCGCCAGCGGCAACGTCACCAGCGCGCTGCGGCGCACGCACGATCTCATCGCGGCGGAGCTAGCCCGCAGCGAGTTCGCGCACCAGACGCTGACCGAGTCCTCGGCGGCGCTGGCGCAGCTCGACGACTCGTACGGCTCGCTCGACACGATGCTGGCGAGCTCCAAGGACCTGCTGGGCACGCTGCTCCGCTCGAACAAGAGTGATACGTGGTACCTCCAGACGGCGCTCTACATGCTCATGGCGACGGGCGCGTGGCTTCTGTTCCGGAGGTTGCTGTACGGGCCCATGTGGTGGCTGGTCTGGCTGCCGTTGCGCCTGGTGTATAACCTCACTGTCGGCGGCGGCGGAGCGGTGGTCAAGTACGCCGGGTCCGGAAGCCCCTCCGAGGCCGTGGTGGTCAACGAGGGCAAGATTGATGTCGAGGGTTTGCCGGATGAGTCGCTGCCTACCATTGAGGTCGGACGGGAGCCGCAGCGATCGGCGGTCGGTGGAGATCCCGAATCGCTGGTCGAGAAGGTGGGTAAGATTGTGGAGGAGATGCCGGCAGAGATCGGCGAGGAGACGGCTGTGGACGATGGCGAGCCGCTAGAGGGTGAGGCCGTCGTTGACCAGGTGCCCATTGATGAGCTGAAGCAAGGGGCGCAAGAAGCGCAAGAAGAGATTAGGCAGCGAGACGAGCTCTAAGTAAGGTACTCAGGCGACCAAATGTCGAGGGGCTGCTCTTACGAAACGCCTAAGCGGTTTCGGTAAAAGAAGAAATATCATCACATGGACAATGATTTTGATCTCCGGCACCCGTACGTTTGACCCAGTTTGCGACTAAGTAGCTGTATTGCTGCGAGGCCTGAACCTAGTGGTGCCCCCGTTGCAAGTCTGGAGAAGCGCCCAAGGCGCCGTTCCTTTGTTCATCATGTATGTGGCATTCCATAGTAACGGCCAGGCCGCGATGAGGAATTTAGCAATTATGATTTTCGCATACTGGCACATCTCGAAGCCTTACCCCGGCTTAAAAGTTCGTCCCAAATTCCCAACACGCAGTACCCTTTAGAGCTTATTTCGAGAAGCGCCGTTCTAACTTCTAGAAAGGAGAAGTGACATGGAAAGCCGGGCGAGTAAGCGGCCAATGACATGCTGCGATCGCGAGGCAGGGATGTGCCTTTTCTCTGCCAGTTTCCCAGTGCATTGAACTTGGGCGCCAGGGAGGAGCATAGAAAGGACCGGAGCGGTCTAGTGTAGAGTTTGGACGGGGGAGGACGGCATGACGTTGTGAAATTTCCGTTCTCTGGGATTGAGCAACAGGGAGCAAAGTCGGACATGCCGTGGGATTTGGTTTGGTGAGACCCATTACCATAGAATATTGCCATCCAAAATACCTATGCCGATGTTTTACTATGTACTCGAGGGCCCGGATATACGAGACAAACCGTGGCAGGCTGCACACGACCCAAGACGACAAAGGGTGTAGCAATATCATGTTCGTTGCCAAAATCTCCGACTGCCTACTGCAAACGGGAGTCAGAAGAACTGAAGTGATGCATCGCCACAGGCGGAGGCTTGACGGCGCATCCTCTGGGCGGGCCATAACCCGTAATGCAAGTCCAACGGCTCTCCGGCACGGCATTGGTGTGTTGGGAGGTGTCGTGTGGCACTGTCTGTGGGATGTAGATCAAAGATCGTTCATTGAGCGATGTGGTTGCTGTGCATCTCGTATTCATGCAGAATCCGCTTCATACGAAATTCAATGAGGCGGAATGTATTTCTGGGATCGTTGGTCTTGTTCTGAATCTCACTGCAGCTGGCAACGGCACTTGGGTCTCTGGGAGTGCATTGTGTGTGTATTCCCCATCAGCCCTCACCCGTGTAAGTGGTTGGCCTTACGGGTAACGGCGTATGACGATGATCGGCTGTCGGTCGGGAATAGAGTAGACCCAAATGAAGCCGGACGAATATGAGCTCGTTTGGACGGATATCCATCCTGTCCTGTAAAGAGCCGTCACTAGTAGGTGCTTCGAAACGAACCTAGGTCACAGGGGGGAGGATTCTCAGTGGACTGATGGATCGTCATGACCCGTCACCGGTGTCGCTCCTAGGCCAACGGATGAGCAAAGTGCCAAATGCTGTGGACTATTCACCATTTCACCACAGTTGGCCGTCCCACCGTCGAGAAGAAAACTTGGCGGCAGGTTGAGACTCGCTCAGGTTCCGACGTTCCGTCTCGTCTAGTGCTCATCTTGGGTCCTTGGAATGGCCGTTCAGGTGCTAGTCGGCAGCGCATCTCAGCTTTCTCAGGTACCCGATGGAGCGCTTGCGCAGTGGTATAGAGTGTGGCGCTCCAGCGCTTTGTCCGGTCGACAGGTCGACAGCGCTGGTCGTCTGGCCCCTGAGACAAGGGCATGTGCCCTTGGCCTATGGCACGGTGCCATTTGCCAGGAAACCCTGCATTGCTCGAGGAGACGCGCCAGGGTCGTGTCACGCTGGTCGTTGAGCATTCGTCCGTGAAAATCGTCTATTGTTTTGTTTTTTTCTGCTGATGTTTCCCCTGTGCTTGGCTGTCAACATCGTCTGAACGGGTTTCTTCTCTAATACCACGTAGGCACAAGTAAGCCTCTGCAGCTATATTGCCGTGGTTGCATCGATAGCGTGCTGTATGGGTACAGGGCTCAAATTGAGGCGTCAATGCCTCGAATACCAAATTCAATGTGTCAAATGAGACCTTGTACCCGCGTGGTGGTGGTGGACGGAGGCTAAAGTCGTGGCGAGGTTCGATCGAGGGCCTCGACAAAACGAAAGGGGAATACGAACAGACCACCAGACCAACGGCCCTCCACACTGATGTAATACCTCGCTGGCCTTGGACCCGGCAAGTCCTGATGGATGGAGACATTGCAAGGGACGAGACAGGTGACAATTGGCTCGCCGTTGCAAACAATGAG